GCACGTTTCAAACCGATCGGCGGAGTGGCGCGAAGGATCTGCCTTCCCCCACTCTCGCCCGCTTGCGGCCACCTATCTCTATATCACCTTAGGGCTGGGGAGGGGAGTACTTGGGCGTGGCGTGGTGGGGCGGGGAAGGGCAGGGTGGAGAGGGAGGGAGGGCGTGGTGGGGCAGGCGCACACGGCACGGCACGGAGAGACACAGCGATGGAGGGCGGCGCGTTAATTAGGCGAATGGCCGTCTGCAGGAAATCAAGCCCAACAAACACACTGTCGCGCTGTGAGTGAGCCGCGCGGGGGGCGGCGGGGGCGGTAAACGGGCGCCGTTAAGGCCCTTGAGGGGCGGGCGATCAAGCAGGCGGCGTCGCCACGGCCCCCCGCCCCGTCCCCCGCCCCGTTCCCCGCACCGCCACGCAAGTCGGTCCCCCGTCGCCCGAGGGGACGCGGCCCTCCCGCCCCCGCCCAAGCTATGCAGATCGGCGGGCGGGCTCTCTGCACGGCCCTTCGCCACGCCCCTCCACGCCCTGCCTTGCCACTACTGTATTCATACCCGGCTCAGCGCCGCACCGCGAAACCGCGGGACGACGAGACGCGACTCTCTTTCCGTTAATTCAATCACATTAAAGCAGGGAGCGTGGAGAGAGAAGCTGGCAGGATTTGGCAGGGGGTGACCGGGGGGTTGGGGGGAGGGGTCTCTCTTTGAGCAGATTAGGTGAGTGCCTCGCCTGCCCGCCTGGCTGCCGGTGCGGTGTGCTGCCTTTATGTTTCTGGCGTCGTTCACCTGAAGGGGCGGTGGGTGCGGCGGTCGCTGCCAGGAAGTACTACCCACCCCTTTCATTTACCCTGCTCTACTAGTTGCTGATGTCGCTCGCTCGGTCAAAGTCTCAAAGAACAGTCCCTCCGCCCCCCAGCCTCCCGCCTCTCAGCTCATCAGCCTTCGTTACCTCCGACTCCGCTCTGTTCCAGCGCGGCTCGGACTAGAGCCGTGAGAGAGGCATGAAGTGTGGCTCATGGCCGGAGGTCGGGGGTCTTCCGTGGCACCGCAAGCCCAAGGAGCGGGACGGCGGGACGGTTCGGAACCGACTCCATTTGAGCAAACTAGGTCTCTCGTCTCTCTCTCTCTCTCTCTCTGAATTCCCCCCCCCCCTTCCTCCCTTCTCTTCCCCTTCGTCGTCCTGCCCGATGGCTGCGGAGGCCTCCCGGCGATAAGCTTGCTGCCACAGCCCCCCGCCCCCGCCCGCTGCTCCACGAGCCCGGAGGGTGCCACTACGCCGCCGTCTCTCGTTCGGAAACGACTGCGCCGCCGTTCGGCTGCTCACTCCCTGTTTATCTGGCGCAGGACTACGCTTCTGCTCCCGCTCCTGCCCCTGTTCCCGCTCCTGTTCCCGCTCCTGCTCCCCGTGCGCGCCCGCCCTCCTGTCCTGGCCGCTCGCCCTCATGCTAGTGGTGCGCCGCCTCATGCTCGTGGTCGCCAAGTAGTGCGTGCGACAGGACTCTACGTTGGGGCGGGCAAGTTACGTGAGGTACAGCCCCCCTCGGGGACACGGGAACTCTGTCGAGGAAGGAGGGGATTGTGAGGGGCAGGAAGGGTCGAGCACCGCGCCGCCACCACACCGTCCCGCACCGCCCAGCCTCTCATACTCGCGGGCGAAAGTTGAGCCATAACCCTGCAAGGCACAAACCCTCCCCTCCCCTACCACCCCCCACCTCATCCTCGCGGTGCAGAGGAGGTGGCCGACGGACGGGTGGGCGCAACACAAACACCCCCCCTCTCTCTCTCTCTCTTTCTCCCTTCATTTCTCTCCGCCTCTCTCCTACACACACACGCACGCACACACCTCTTCCAGATAAGGGCCCCAAGTGATCCCAGGGGGAGCGTGGCGGGGGCGCGCCGGGAGTGGAGCGGCGATGCACTTGCCGCCCTCAGCTCGGGGCATATAATTGGCTCAGTGCGGATCAGCTGCTCCTCCGGTGCGGTGCGGGGGACGGGGCTCCACCTCCACCCCGTCGTGATGCTCACTCATCCCCCTCCCCCTTTTATACCACGAGGTGTATACACCACCACACTAGTCCCAACCCCTTCCCCCCATAATTCGGTGTCCGACGCCAGCAGAATTGGTCGTCAGCTACGGCTGCCGGTTTTGTCCGTCGTGCTGCTGCCGGCGGCTGCAACCCTCACCTCCTTGTCACGTCAGCGATGATCACCCTGACGCCCCGCCGCCCCGCCACACCCGATACTCCCTGCGTTACAAGACACCATCGCTCATCAGCCCGACGGTTTCTCACCGCCCTCCCGGGGGACCTGCTCGCCTGCCCCCTCCTCTCCCCCCCCCCCCCCCCCCCCCATCTTGTAGGCAGGCGGCCCCGCACGGTCGGCCCACCGGCCCCTTTGCTGCACCAATAGACCATGATCGAGAAGCATAACTTGTAACTGGCAGGGGAGTGGCGTGACGACGCCGAGATGGCGATGAGCTGTCGTGGTGCACCGACAAAAACATTAACTTTCGACGATTTTTTGTTTTCTTTTTCCACCTAGTGATGCGGCACACATGAACGAAATTAAAATAAGGACATATGAAGTATCAGCCAGGTTTACTTCAATTGCATGCAAAAAAATACTCTCAAGGTCCCAATTAGTTTGTTGTTTGAAAAAAAATATTCAGTAGGAATGGTAACTAACAGGAATGTTCGCACACGGCGCTTGAAATTCGAGAGGAATGCCCGCAGGTGGGCTGTACGCCCCTCGGCGCGGCAATAGGGTTAATAAACATGCTCTGTGCCGCCGGGCCGGGCCAGCTGGAACAGGGCTCGGCCCGCGCGAGAGCGAAGCGTTATTGAAATTAAAAGCCGTTTATTTCGGCGAAGTGCCGCGCTGATGAGGAATAAAATGTTGTTATTT